GGAATAATGGGCTATTAAAGGGGGATTTTGAGTGTCTAAGACATCACCCAATGCCCCTGTACCATATCTGCACTACAGCCGCTGGCTATGGTTGGGGGTCTATATGTTGGTACGTAAATAGGGGTTGCCCTTCCCTTTAACGCTATATGATGGGATGTTAAAGGTCTGACCTAGTTTCCCCTGGCAAGGCCACATTATTTCTGTAGCCTTGCCTAACAGGCGTAAGTCTTGGCCCTGAGGGATGATCGATCACCCACATGTGGTGTTATTTGATCTATCCTTGGGCCGCCTGAGTCTGCTGGCAATTCGCAAATAATAATACCCTCGAATTGTAAATTCTGTATTTGGTTGCACTTCGACATTGCTGTGATATTCATATAAAAAATCACACACATAACATCCTTTCTTAATTTCTTGATATCGTGAAATTGCTCCCGCAATCCCGTGTAGATTCTGTGTGTGTGTGTCTCGCCAGTAGACACAGTAGCCATGGATTCCAAGGTCCGGTGATTGGGTCAATGCTCACAAAAATCCTGAGTACATAAAACCGCCGCTAATTGTTACACAATAACGTCATCCACAACACCATACCTCAGAATGCTGAGACCATCTCTCAGACCGGATGTGTCATCATCACTAGGGTGGGTGCTGGGTGCTGGTAACTGGGGGGTTGTTCACGTGCCATAAGCGAAAGAATTCTGCCATTGCATTACTGATGACTAGTCTCAACAACTGCAGTCACGTCCTGTCACACCCAAAAGTGAACGAATTCGTATGAAACTAATGTTCACACTTTAGCTCACACAGGATTTTGGTGTTGGTGAATTCCTCATTCTGGCAATGGAGAGTACTCTTCAACATTGCAGGTACTATCTTCCAAACCTTGCTGCTGTAATCACGCTGGGTGTCAGAGGGGTCGAGATATATCTCTGACGCATGATCCGGCCTCTCTCCTCTTAATAGGATTGGTAGACAACACCTTCGTCCTAGCGGTGAGAGTACAGTTCTGAACACTGCTGCGGTGTCACCCTTTAAACGTAACACTATTATTACGTGGATACACTATCATTGCCTTCGAAGAGTTGGTAGACCGGGCACCCGTCAGCTGGCAAAAATGAACTGCTGAACTATATGTAAAAGTCCGCGAAGTGCATCACCTTGAGAATCTGAGTGGTAACGTCACTATTCCTTTGATGCTCAGCTGAGTACCCGAAACCTCCTTCTAGCTCAGCTCTTTACTAGGCTCCTTCCATTTGACCCCTTGCGGTGAGGGAATTCTACGCTGTAACTCGATGGCGATGTCAAGGCTAATACATTAGCGCAAGCACCTGTGTCTATATATCAAGAGCCAACCCTGGTATTATTATCCACTCACCGGTACCGGATAACACTTCCACTTTTTCTAAGCGCCAGCGAAGTGTTGTAAGGAGGGGCGTGGGAATTTCCCCTATCTTCACCTCTCCTTGCGTAGTGTGCGCTGGTCTTCCCTTGACACTCAAGTCCTGGGGACGTTTCGTTTTGCGCCTATACGACACCTCCGTTTCACTTAGGTCCACTCTAGCTTTACTTCAGGCACGCACCCGCGAACTATGAGAGTGTTCGATACTAAAAAGAGCAAATTATCAAGCGTTGTTCGGTAGGGAGTGAGTGAGGTGCTGCTTTAGCTACCTCTGTTTGACCTTTGAGGTTCTGCCGCACCGGGTGTGGCTTTATTTGCAATTACCTGGGAGCTGAAACAATCTTCCATGCCACGCTTATTACAATGTGCGGCCTGCAACGATGTTTTCTGTTTATATGTTAATAGTGGGAGGATGCATCGAGCTAAGCGTGTCGCGTGTAAGTGAGTCTGGAGAGAGGCATCTGTGGCATTCCAGACGGCGCTGGCCCAGCTGCATCTACCCCCAATAATCCCAATTAGCGTTCGCTTGAACTTTTCTGCGTCAGGCTTTGTAAACCAAACGCGTATTTAAACGACTGCCTGCATAGTGAAACCCCTGCGTTATATGGGAACCCATATGTTTCTTTATCTTCGCTTCAGTCGTTATGCGACTATTATGTATTACGCTATCTTCATACATGCAAGTAAAGTAAAAGGACCCTATAATCGTTCCTGTATGTCCCGTGAAATTTCGAACATAACGCCGCGCTGCATGATATTAATGACAGTATCAGCTGTAGGTGTATATAGTGAGGGTGTGAGGGTTAGACGAAGCCATTTTAGCGCTTAGTATTAAGCAAATAGTATTCTTACTCTTAACAGAAGGCTGGGTTAATAAGGTTGTTAAATGATTTAGCAACAGACAATAATTCATCACCTGTGTACAGGGGTAACCGTTTTCTTTAGTATACTTAGGTGAGGTACTATAGTGATTAATACTAGACCGTAGGGTACGACTTGCTTCAAGTCGTCAAATGATTCGGGGTTGTTCATAACTTTCTCACTACTTCCTACCGACTCATTTTAACTGTGTTCCATACTCAAAAACGCGCCCGTCTGGCTTGATCATTGATGAGTTGCTATCAGCAAAATAGCTGTGCCGGGCGTTCGATTTCATCTACATTAGACATGGGAAACTTAGAAATTATCTATTACCCCCTTTGGGCCCAATGAATACTTAACAGTAAGGTGATCACTTGCCTCCCTCATTTGCATAAGACAACAATGAATATTAATTGTAAAGCCACCTCTTTTTAAACTATCAATAAGAAGACAGAGACACTTACAACTACTGTAAATTATGTGGATTTCACTTCTACATTAATCTACATTCGACACTTCTGTCACCGAAATAATCCTATCCGACGAACCTAAGGGTGTGAAGGGGCAAGATATCTCGAATGTAAGTCTATGTGTGTAAAAACTATGTAATTTAAATTACCTTATTTTATACAGAGTAGTACGTCTGTATAGAAAATGCAACTTCCAAAAGTTCTGAGCGGAGTGGTGGGTGGGTGTGGGCGTTGCCTCTCCTAGGATGCGCGCGCTGCTGCTGGTTTCCTTTGGCAACGAGATGACGCTTCTGCTTTGGTGAGAGACGAGTCCAATTTGATTGCGAGTTCCTCCCTCCGGCGATAGGAAATGATGATTGGTTATCACACTCGTCGTTCGCTGGCTAAAACCGCCAAAGCAATTCTTTCACACAGTTCCACGTATATATGGAGATCTGTATGATGACACCGAATGCACTGCTGACGACAATGACAATACTGCTCAGCTGCTAGTGAAATAACGCCAATTGAATTCCAGGTTACGAAACTGTTGTTCAACACTGCAACACTGTAAATTTTGTCTAGGGAAATGTTTATGAAGCCCATTCTCAACCGGCTCAATCTGGATATAAAATTAACAGGCTGTAATATTTGTATTACGAATTCTGCACGTATTTGTATGTGACAGAGATAAGGAGTGCTCACTACATATCGTCTCAATACGGGATATAGTTTTAAACACTCGGATTATGTAACGCGTCACTGCTGTGTGGTTTCTTGTTTTTCACAAGACACAGACGGATGATACGACTACCAGTTTGAAGAATCCGTACACACCGCTTGCCACCTATATGAATCGGCTGCTTGTCCAATTAACCAGTCCGTTCACACATATTTATATTTGGGTGTTAAGTAACGAAACCCAAACGGTAGTTCCTTTGTTTTATTATAAAAGGTTGTATATATAATTCCTGAGTGTATATCAACCGTAAGTCTCACTGTCTAGGAGTGAATGAGAAAGGGACAGCGTTTATGTATGATAAACGTTTGGTCACGTCCTTTCGATATGAGTTGAGGTGAGCTACTGAAGCTTAGGGGCATCGCAGTGCGTGCTTACAGGAATGCTGAGCTATGGGTCTCGCCCTCTTGGGTAAGTTGCCCGCTCACGTGTCAATCTCATGTCTTACTCATAGACAGTGGAAAGTTACAGGGTGGTGAATCTGAATATAATATCAGATGTATTGACCCATTTATATAATACGTTCTGTTGATGAGACAGGGGCCTATTACACGTCCCTCTGGGGCCCACTGCTACTCCAAGATCCCCTGCTGGTCTAGCTTAGGCCCACAAGGCACCCAGTTAACATGTGTTGCCACGAGGAGGTGCTGCAGGAGTCTTAATGGTGAAGAGGCTGTGTACTGGCAAGGGAAGATTGCGCAAGTTGCTTCCCTGCTGCCACATTAGATGCATTATACCACCCTGTGCACACACACACACTGAGTTCGGACACTTTTAAACACGTGGGGTTTCACGGTTAGGCTACACACGTATACAATGTAACACACGAAGGCCGTCACGTGGTGGGATGCAGCTCGTCCCCAATAATAATTAATGGTTGCCCCTCTTGTAAAGAGGATGGCCGGCCCAAGGGTCACCTAGGCGTGAAGTTGTTTAAGGTGTAGAAGCTGTCACCAACACAACACCCAAAGTTAACGAGCTGCATGAACCAGTGCCAAGGAATAGTCTGAGAAGACCAGACAGCTTGCCAACTGCACTAGTTAACCATTAACCCGGAATACGATCCGCAAGTTGATTACGGTAACATCCAGGTTCCCAATTACTGCTGGGTAGACATGGGCATATGGTTTAAAGAAACTTGCCCAAAGTTTCCACCCTGCCCAAATGGACCCTATTTGGCAACCAGTTACTGGATCGTAGTTGGTGTAACCGAAATAACTGTGATATGGTTAAATAGACCCATATCTAATGCCCTTCAGCATTATTGCCTCGTGAGAAACGATATACAGTACTGTATGTATGTTGTGTTGTCAAAGTAAAAAGAAACAATTGAGACCCTGCAATTGTGTGTAAATGAGGCAGAAAGTCAGATCAGCAACCTGGGACTTGGTCACAATTTTTGTGATGCCACATGGTAGACCGTCTACCATGTGGCTATACATTATGCTTCCAATATCTTCCCAAGCGGTATTACCTCCCTGTTTGATAGCTGCCTACAACCGTACACAACTCTTAAGAAAAAATACTACCTTTCAGCTTATTGTGTACTTACTGTGGGCAATGTCGTGACTACTACCACTAAGCACTAATCGCTACTGAGTCTTGGAGTACTTTAGTGAGAGTAGTAAAAGATGGCAGGTACCACAACTTGGCACAATTCAAATTGTTCGTAAGAGCCATTTCATTTCGATGATAGGTCATCATATATGTTAAGAGGCATGATCATTGCTAAACTGTAACTGCTGGAGAACAATACCAATGGGAAATCCAAATACATGTACTGTAGATTAATTTCACGGCAAGCTGTTTAAGTATGTGCGTCATCAATACCAGTGTAGAGTTACTGAAGCTATTGTCAAGTCTTTCTTTGTTCTCGTAAATTAATTACAGACCTTATTGTCTTGAAACAAATTTTACAAAAGAATTTGTAAATTTATGCATATCGAATATATTTAAATATGCAAATGTTAATATATCATTGTTAGTGTAGATAATATTTATAATTATGTGTTTGCCGCTCAACGCAACACCTACTTCACATGATACCTTTGTGGAGGTATGAGATTGTAGGGGAGAAGTCCACTTCAATGTGCTAGATAACATTATACCACGAATTCCTACAAGATATTGGTTCACACTCAGGATGGGATGGAGAAAGGAAACTCACAATGTGCTCACTGTATACATATTGTATTGAATGTACAATGCAGCTTGTTGCTGGGTAGGTAGCATTGGGTGGAGAGAGCTGGGTGGTGAGGGTGCCAAGAGGAGGGACACTCGGCTTGAGGGACGCCAAGATCGCTGGTGGGAGCGGCAGCCGCCAGGCTGGTGCGGAGGAGGTGGTGTTGCTTGCTGGTGGCACTGGGTAGAAAAAGGCTGGTCACAGCGGTGTCAGGTCTTATAAGGCGGGGGTAGGCGTGGGTAGATAGTTGACCCCCGCTCCGTAGGCGGTGCTGGAGGCGTAGGCTGGGGAATTCGAGAAGGTTCGGTGCTTGTAGGGGAGGAATCCACTACAATACTACAGGTAGTCAAGGGGCGACTTAATTGAAGTTTATAAACAACTCAGAGGGCATTACTCAGTCGAGGGTTCATGATTGGAGCTGGGGGACGTGCCCCACTAGCCTAGCGGGGCGGGTGGTCACAGCTTATGGTTGAAGAAGCCACAAGTTCGGAAAATTGTCAAGGCAAACTTTTTCTGAGTTTATAATCTTTTTCTCAGTTTGTAAACTCTTGGCGCACACTGCCAGAGAGTGTGACAGCACCGAGAGTGAGCTCATTCAAGACCAGACTTGACCAACACTGGCGCAGATGCAGATACATTCTGGAGCCAGTTCTTGCCCAGTACTTGCCAATGACGACATGCAGCCTGTCTGGCATTGAGGATCTGTTTGGTGGGGTTCTTGGCCAGCCAGATATTTGCCTCAGCCCAGCCAGCCATTCACCTCAGCCAGCTAGCCATTCACCTAAGCCAGCCAGCCGTTTACTTCAACTAGTCAGCCGTAAACTTCAAGCCAGCCTCAGAGAGCCAAATAATCTAAAATAAATAACAAAACCTTCCCCGCATCCGCACACTCTCCCTCCCATCCACCCACCCCTTCCTCCCATCCACACCTCCAACCACACACCCTACCTCCAACCACACACCCTACCTCCAATCCACACACCCTTCCTCCCATCTACACACCCTAGAAAAAAAATAATTTAATATTTGATGATTTTGATATTCTTCATGAGCAAAGAGCGAGTCATCAGTCGAACATTAACTCACGTCTCACGGCCTAAAACTCCAAATAAAAAAAAAAAATAAAAAATAATAATAATAATAATAATAATAATAAAATAGTAATAATAATAAAAATTGTAATGGCAGTATTACGCTTATGCTAACCGTGGAAGCCAACTGCTTGTTTGGTTGTGGACTAGTTTAGTGACGTAAGAGCGGATCGTTGACGAAGCTTCGAAACTTATGACTATCTTTCGTTAATAATTATCAGTTTTATTTTAGCTAATGGTGGATAGAAGTGATTTAAGAAAATTAATGAGATTATAGATGACGGACCAATCGTGTATGGTGTTCTTTCTGCCGTCCAGTCGATTATTTTCATATGAATCAGTAAAGCGAACCAATGAATTAAGGAATCGAAGCACCTCGGGTTCGCCACTCGCCATTGATCATTAGAGGTACGGCAGTGGTGGTGGCAACATGTGTGTGTGTGGTCATACAGTAGTTGATCGCTATTTCCATGTTTTACGTTTGCTGTTTGTGGATTACCTCGTGTTTGTGGCGTCGTGAGGACTTCCAGGACTCTACGTTGTGGTTATTAGCGGTTGAGTGAAGGTAAGGTGATAACAAGTTGTGTTGTTGTACTGTGGATAGGGAGGAGGAGGCGGTAGTGTAGCTCTCCGCCGTGTGTACAGGAGTTGTGGATGCCGTGGCTCGGACAGATAATACTGCTAGTATGTGGATAGACATATAATACTGCTATTAAGATGGCTATTAACCTAAGCTAGTATGTGGATAGACAGATAATATTGCTATTAAGATGGCTATTAACCTTAGCTAATATGTGGATATATGAATAAAATCCTAGAATTAGTATCGGTACATTGTTGTTGCAGTGCGGGGTACTTATCCACCTGTACTGGGACCTTGATTTTGTATGAATTTATTGAGTAAAAATCATACATATATACATTCATACATACTTCATGTAAATCCACAATGAAAACGTGGATAAGATAAATCTTGATAAAATCACACGGGAAAATGGAAACAACGGAGTACCTTAGCTTTCGTCTTTATTCAAGACATCTTCAGAGTTGCCTCTGAAGATGTCTTGAATAAAGACGAAAGCTAAGGTACTCCGTTGTTTCCATTTTCCCGTGTGATTTTATCAAGATTCATACATACATACATACATATATACATACATACATGAGGGTTATCGGCCTGATTATGTCATGTTAAACACCTTGTTCATTTGAAGTTTTTGTTAGGGTAAGAGTGGTAGGTATCGTCACCGGGGCCCATATGCTGCTATTGCTGAAGTAAATTATGTAATGGGATCACTAACCAACATTTCCAATATAATTATTTGCCCTTGATAGTGTAAATACCTAGCGCGTCACTTGGGTCAATTCAATTCAATTTCAATTGTTTATTCCACTTTCTTACTCCTGTACAATAACACCAGAAGCAAGTGTCACAAGTATATACACTATTATACAGTATAAATATTATAAAGGGGCTTACCAAAGCCTAAGGAAGGAAGGATATTCCTTTAACACTTAATCAATGTTATTTACATAATATCTGGCCAGTATGGGGAGGATCATGATGTCTCCGTCAGGGGGTCGTGGAGTGGTGGTCCAGCAGGCGTCACGGAAGCGTTGTGTGTGGGGACATCTTAGGAGGTAGTGGATAAGGGTGCTGCTGTCGGGTCTTCTGCATAATGCACAAGAGCGTTGCTCAGGGGATGCGTTGATACCAATCTCCCAAGCAAAGTCATACCCAATGATGATACGGGCAGCAATCACGTCCCCTTTCCGCGACCCTTTCCCATAGACATACGAGAGGTCAGGAAGTTTACGGAGGACATCGTACCAGGTGGGCGGGGAGTCCAGGGGGATGGCTGCTTCCCGAGCTTCTCTGTTTGCGGCGAATTTGGGTCCTAAGCTGTAAAAGTGTTCGAGGAACAACGTAGTCAGGTGTAGCCTTGTTGCACCCAGTCTTGGCAAGGCCATCTGCTGCCTCATTCCCCAAGATACCGACATGACTAGGTATCCATAGGAATGTCACAGGACGGCCTGCATCCTGAAGTGTGGATGTTAACCCTCGTATTCGGAGGATGAGGTCCTTATTTTCCCCTGATCCAAATGCGATCCCGTCGAGAGCAGACCTGGAATCGCAGCAGACAAGCAAGGGGCAGAAACCATCTGCTTCTTCCTCAGCGAGAAGGACAGCAAGGAAGGCTATTAGTTCCGCCTGAGTGGAGGATGCCCCGTCAGAAACTCTAAGAGACAGTTTGACCGGCTCAGGGGCACAGCCCCGGCCCGACCTGTAGCGGGGTCAACAGAACCATCAGTGTAGAAGACGACCCTACCTGGGGACCAGTGGGCCATCCTGGAGAGGTGGTATTTGTAGAGAATAACAGGATTCACGTGGGATTTCGGAAGCGGTCCACCGAGGGCAATCACTTCAGGTTGAAAATCCAGTCAGGGAGAAGGAGACGAACCAACAGCAGGGGTTCACTTGGATCTTGGGTTGTATGTAGTAACGTGCGTGTTTCTCTCTCACAAGTCCAGGGTTCGAATCGCCTCTGGTTTAAATGTATGTCTGACGTAGCACGATTTCCGGTTTTCGCCTGCACCAACATTGGATAAACTAACCACCCAGATGGCTTGTGTCCCGATATCAGGTGTTCTTATATATGGTAAACAAAAATACTCAGCCTTTGGATACGCCTCTAGTAACTACGCCACTAGCAACCACGCCACTAGCAACTACGCGTGTATTATCATTTTATATTTAGCCTTTCATCCAGAGGTTTGTTACTGAGGGAATTAGTATGACTGAACATTCATAAATAGTAAATGAGGAACTCTGAGGTAGGTTATTATTGCACGGGGACGAAGCCATAATGTGGGGTGAAATGAAACCTAACCTAACCTCACCCCTGTAAATCAAACCAAGTGTGTCTGTAGTGATGATGAATTGTCTTATAATAACTGAGGATCATTCAGCAGCATCAATCATCATCATTATTCATCATCACCATCATTATCATCATCATTCATTATTTATCATCATTCATCATCATTGTCATCACATTTACGCCATCATTATCGTCATCATTCATTATTTATCATCATCGTCGTCATCACATATACGCCATCATTATCGTCATCATACACACCACATTACACACCACACACCACAAATTACCACTAGGCCCTCTTCCCCGCCCTTGTGACTACCAACGGTGTCAGTTGGTACAAATTAGTGGTTATTTCGGTTCGTTTCGCCATTTAGTAGATTTTCCCATAAAATAAATATATCGTAATATACCAAATAAAATATTTATTTGGCATATACAATAAATTCTGATTATCTACATGACATTACGTGTAATTTATTCAGAATGTATTCATCATACCAGAACCTCTACCTATAAGATATATCAACCTGTCGTTTTATATCTTCATGAGTTCTGGAGTGAATGGTCACCTGAAAGGCGCTGAATCAGAGTCGAGCTTGGAGCCATTTTCTCTGAACCATCTGTGATTTTTTTGTTGATCAGCTGAATAAAAACGTTTCCCATTATTTCCTGCAGAAGCAACTCAGTTTTCTGTTAGTGAGCATTTATGTAATATCCGGTCCTTATCATTACAAGAGCGTCCGGTTAGATAGAAGTTTCGATCGGGTGGTTCAATGTCTGGGGAGTCGAGCTCTCGAAGTTGTCACTTTGGAAGGTATCAGTACTTTCTTATGGTGTCAAATTACGCAAAACAAATATGGCCGCCAGCCATCCGATTAAGTGTTATTACTAAGGTTCGCAAGTGACGCTCTATATCATGTGCTTCAACACCACAAGAGCGTATGTTCGTACTGGAGATGGTTCAGTGTGTGGTGATGTGGATGAACTTTAGACCAGGGACAGATGTTGAACAGTTGGTTGAAAGTGTAACAGAAGAGCTCAGTAACGAAGATCTCATCGAACTGGAATTACACACAGATGCAGAGGAAGAAGCCAGTCTAAATGTAGAAGAAGGACCTGCACCCAAAGTTTTCCAGTGAAGCAAATGGCAGAGGCAGTTGCTACAATTAATAATGGAATGCAAATGTTTGATGGCATGGATCAAAATTATGGGCGTTATGCCAAAGTTGACAGAATGATCCAGATGCACTTTGCTACAGAGAATTTATAATGAAAAGCAAACTGTGCAGTCTAAATTGGACATCTATTTTAAGTCCCCAGTGCTGTCTCCTCATGCCCCACCAGTGCTGCCTCTTCACTCCCTCAAGATGATCCAATACCTTCAACCAGCAAGTTTCCACAGTACATAAACCTGTCTGAAGAAAGCGACATTGATGACCCACCCAGCCCTGTCTCCTCCTCTGCTTCATCCAATTAATATAGTCTCCATGTATACCTGTAAATACAGTCGACCCTCGTTAATTCGGACCCCTTAAATCCGGATTTCGGATAAATCGGACGAAATCTGAACTGTCCATATCAAATTTCTGTTCTGGGATTGTCCTAGTTGCAATTGGGGTTGCAATTTCAAATTCTGTGTCACTAAGAAATAACAAAATCCCTGGTGCACTCTAAGATTAGGAGAAAACGGACGACTCAGGCGTCCTGAAGTGAGAGAAAACGGACTCCTATGACAGGGCACTCAAATAAAGAGACATGGCTACATGTTTTGTGGACTAGCCACTACAGTATCCTTTTCATCACTTTGTAATAAACCTCGTTATGCCTATGTGTTTCTGACAATTATCATAACATTATATATTTATATATTTAGCGGTTGTACAAACACAAGGCCTCACACATGCCATTCAGATTGACAGACTTGACAAGTTTTACCAACCATAAAGACAGTTGAAGCTTTAAACATCACTCACAATGGATCTTGAATATTCCAACTGTAATCAGACATACCTAAGTTGCCTCAACAATTGCAATATCAAATTTCCTTTGTCACTACTAAGATATAACAGTCTCTGGTGCACTCTAAGATTAAGAAAACGGACGACTCAGGAGTGCTGAAGTGAGAGAAAACGGACTCCTATGACGGGGCACTCAAATAAACATACACATAGCTGTATAATGCAATATTAACCCCTAAATCGGTTAATTCGGACAATCGGCTAAAACGGACACCCTTCCCCCCTATTAGTCCGTTTTAACGAGGGTCGACTGAAAATTATGGGGGGCCGTGTGCATTCAGCTGACTACATTTGAGTAGTGCTCAGTCACACTGTATCCATTCCTCGTTATTTATTACTTTTACTGTACTGTATTTCATTGTAGATTTTTTTATTTTTTATTTTTTTTTTATTTTTTATTTATTTATTTTTTAATCTATGTTGGACTTAAGACCATTCCGACTTACGACCTGGAATTGGGTCCCTAACCACGTCGTAAGTCGGGGACTACCTGTATTCTGTTTATTATGCACCAAAAAATCAAATTTTGTTGTCTTTTGTGGCATTTAAAGACTATTGAGGATTTTTGTGGCATATCTTGGCTTTTGTAATAGGAATCGAAGGGAAACTACCTCAGTTTATGAAAAGTCACTATGAAAATTTTTTTTTTTCAGAAGTGGAAGCAGAACCCCATGTACACTGGGGTCTGCCTGTACTATAAATAATAGCTTCAACTTAAATTTTTTTTGTAAGTTATTGTGCTTACATACACATTTATTGACACTTGTTAGGATCATTCCAAAGAAACTAGAAACTATCTCCATTTCTTTTTACTGTTGTATCTGAAAACGACATGGTTATCGTTGGTGTCGGTGGACTCATATGCAACAGCAGGTTGCCCAAGCAGCCAATTGGACGATCAGTGGCGTTGAGGATAAAGCAATTTATCAGTGATGAGATAATGTGGGGATAAATGCACTGAGGGGGCTGAGTCTCCTCGACTTTCTTGAGTGAAAGGACTAAAATTACATCTGTATTATTGAAGATACTATTTAAAAATATATTTTGCTTTCTAGCATGCCTTGCATTCTTTAAGAATATGCCGCTGGTATACAGTTAACCCTCACTTTCTGTGGTCCGCATTCAGCGTTTCCACGTTCACGGTGCCTGCGGAACCCAGGATGCTCATTCCGCGGTGCATGTACCCCTTTCTGTGAGGAGCGGCTGGCGAGCCGCGCCATGCTGATCCAAACCTCCGCCATCCGCCATGTTGTGTAACTCTTGCGAACATGGTGCGCTAAAATAGCCCAGTCATCAAAACATTACCAGTTCTTCACCGCCACCCAACAGCGGCCCAAGTCAAGTAGTAGTATAATTATGGTGAGGATATGGACTTATATGGACTTTGGGGAGTTTGACAAGAGGCCCTGCAAGCCTCTGTGGTGGATAGTGATACAATTGATACAAGTGACACAGGTGAGGGCCAATAATCTGCCCTCTGCCTCGGAACCAACCGCCATCCCTTGTGCCCAGCCATTTTTCTACTAATAATGTAAGTGTTAAAAACCTAATATTATTGATATTCTCTTAATTATTAATTGTGTGTGCATACCATCATAAAGTTAAGATAATATTTTTACTACAACATAGTTGTGTGTCATCAAAAAGTGGAGTTTGGGGATGGCCGGACTCCATTTCAATTAATCCCATATGTTATGCTATTCACTGGCGTTTCTCACTTTCCGCGGTACCCTCCGGGTTACATTAACCGCGTAAAGTGAGGGTTAACTGTACTTGGTATGTGAGAAATGGGAGATAACTCTTTACTGGTAAGTTCTATTTTTTAGCAGAGCCTGTGTGGCTGGGCTAATGCTGATCCATAAATTTTTAGCACTGAGCAATTAGTGGATTTACTTCACCCCTTTGGCGAGAAGTTGGACCATTGAAGGGATATACCCAATAGTTTAATTATTTTGTTGCTGTGTTAAGGGTTATTTAAAAGAAAGTCACCCCTCTTCAGCAGAAAATCAAACTTGAGATCACTCAAATGAAAGGCAAAAGTTCTCTCACAGAGCGAGTGATCAATATACTGTACTGTACCTGTACAAAGAAAAATAAAACTCGGAAATTATTTCATGATTCCTTTTATTCACAAGAGAATATTGAAGTGATCGTAAAAACAAGTGTGCCAAAAAAATTATATATTAATACTGACATAAATTCAGAATATCTGGAACAATGAGTCAAAATACTGTATGTACTGTACTGTACAAGGAACAATATTGCACATGTATCACACAGTACTGTAGTATGCTCTTTTCATGAACAGTAATGACAACAAAATCTGTTTTTTGGTACTATCTCATATGAACTGTATATCGGTAAAGTATTCAATAGTGTCTGATTTCTAGTGTATGATAAACGATCAGAAAGTTTGTGGGTGGCCATGACTGACAGGGAAACTTCTAGCCCAGAGACATGATCAAACACTTTCTGATTACTTCTTGTTCACTTATGTCAGGAAAACAGACAAGATGCAACTCATCTTATAATTATTTTGGCAGTCATTACATTCTTCCATCCTTCTACAGGTGGGTAAGAAATGAGCGACAAGAGTTTAGGAATTAAAAGAATTTAATTTGCACAATGAAAAGTTTTGACTAGTTGATGAATATATTCTATATGCAATCTTGAGGTAACTTTTTCAAAATATAATAAACAATTAGAAATACTATAATCTTTAAAGCACGAAAATGACACCATAACTAAAGTTTGCATATTTAAAACTATGGCAATAAGGAAATGTCACCAAGTACTGTATTTGAATACTAATAAAAAAAAATTTCATTTATTACATGACATTACCCATGTCATCTTTCCTCGGGCAATAAAGGCAAACAATTTTAGACTGTGTGCTGGAAAGAACAGCTGCATCAGTCAAGTAATTTGAAGTGTTTAGGCATTAATGTAACACTGCTTTGCTGTAAAACTGAATTGAGGTACTCTACGGTATTGCAAATACGTACAGTATAAATGTACTGTACATTTAAAACTGAACCAAACAGTGTATCATCTGGAATGTAAATAGAATTGCTTACCCATTTTATTTCATTCATTTACAAATGTTCGTCTCCATATTTATCTCAAAGTGCCTCCTTGCTAAGCCTATACATTACAGTATTTGCCATTACTATACAGTATACAGTAAATCTTAAAAAAAAAAATCCTTGTAATACTGTACAGTTGTATATGAAATGCTATGCTTATTTTGTCTTTAAATATTTGCATTATAACTGATGACTTATTTTCATGGGTCAATTCACTAAATTCTGAAAACTGAACATTTGACCTCTAGTATGAACTCTCACTAAGTAGTATAATAGCACCATCTGATTATTATGTATATGGTAAAAATCAAGTCCAAATTTATTTACCATTGTCTGCCACATGGCTTCAGGTAGGCTATTATGTTGTGATAAAACCCAAGATCCTGATATCACTATGAAAACAGTAAGCATGTGTGTGTCTCTGTGTTTGACTACATTTTCATCAATACAATGAAGTTGCTAGGTAAAGGCAAAAACGACACTTTGCTAACATCTATTTTGTTAACCATCAAATACTGTACTGTATAGGTAACACTGTTCAAGGCAAGAAAGACAGTTTAGATATGAGCAATAATGTAGACAAAATAATGAGCTCTACACTTTTAGTACCCATGCCTTGTCATAATCAATCTCACAAGAAATAATCATGAAAAGCAAGAGCATCCCTGATAAAAGCAGTTTGAAGCCTATAGCATCTTCAAAGAGTAATATCCTTACACCCTTGGAGTCATTTACATGATGAATTTAGTTAGAACTAGAATAGTTTAAAAAACTACAGCTATCATGAGGAAATGGATGTTATAGTAAAATGAGATGACAATAGGTGATATCACGCCAGTAATTATAGGAATGCAGGAAACTTTTTGTGGAGAAAATAAATTCTATCCTACTGCATCCAAAACTGGGATGGATATGAGGCACTTAGTTTTCTATTGAAAAGCTTTTGTAAATTATCAGAATTGTTTAATATAATAATAATATAATAATTCATTTGACTTCACCTGTACCATGCTTAACTGAGATTCACAAATATCAAGCAGGTGTGAAATAAGTTCAAAGGCTATTAATTCCAGTAAAGCACCGAGTTATGATGGTATGACTTGTGATAATTCACATAACTCCTTAAAAAATTACGACCTGATTCAGGGTAGACTGGTATTCAATAAGCATTGGTTTTTTTAGTGAAAACATTATAAATATTAGGAAAATTGAATAAAAATTCCTCAAATGGTGCATCATTGGCATCATTTCAATCAGCCTTCTGCTACCATGTCATCCTGACTGCCTGTAAGTAAAGTGCTTTTGTGAGGCCTTGTTATTGAAAATTGTATTAAAATGAGTGGAAAGAAACAACCAAGTGATAGCAATGGGGCTGGTAAAATCTAAAAGAAAGTGTTTTAGTTTAAATGACAAATTAAAGGTGTGATCTGTGGATATTTCATGGACACTGGAAAAAGGAGAATCCATGGTAAAAAAATTCGCATGAATGCTGATAACTCAATTAACCTCTTGTGTATGGGGTCTTCTCTGAGCTGAATATAATTGTCTGGCATTGGCCATATAAAATATTAAAATCTGGCAAAGTAGAAATGGAAGAGATGGAGGCTTTAAGTACAGGTACTTTAATACAGGATCAAAAGCACAAAAACACTTCATTAAGTACAGTACCAGTATGATTCACTAATGGTGAGAGTTACATTTACTTTTATCCTTTTCACACTGATTGGTTCATCAGCTGCTTGAGCAGTCGGTCATATCTCCGCTCCGCATTGTTGGCAAGTACTGACTCCAGAATGTATTTATACCTGTACCAGTGTTGTTCAAGCTTGGTCTTGAAAGAGCTTACACTCGAATACGTCACAACACACCCTGGCAGATTGTTCCAAGAGTTTTTGTTCATTGACCCTTATAATTCTATAGGAATGGAAAGTATAGTTTTTCTCTCATAAAAAGAAAGAATTAGGTTCATGGATCACTCTTTTCTTTATTTTTATTTTCTTACTTTTTTTTGGAATGTAAATAGTTTTTGTTGCCATGACTGCATCTTTAATTTACAGCATGGTAAATTGGCAGACACATTCCATCTTAACTTGGGGCTTTACTGTATCAGAACTATATGGACTAATAACTATATCAAAGGTAAAATACATTCATTTCAATTTACCAGATACTGTACATGATTAAAAGGATGAAGTTATTGATAGAAGTTGTAATTAATATACTTTAAGGAAGCAGTAATGGAAATGGGACATGTTAAAATTATTTACAAAAATATACAGTACTGAATACAGTGATCTCTCCCTTAACTGGACTAATTGTGTGCAGCCAGTTTAGTTAACACAACATTCTGCCAATCTGTTAGTAGCTAGACCACATATTTTCCAATTTATATTGAAACTCTCCTGATTATAATATAATAGTAAAAAAAAATAAGAAAAAGTGTGCTGAAAGATAAATAAATGAAAATTAAAAGGAGGTAGAATGGAAAATATACAGTACAGTACTGTAATGTACAGTCAAGAGCTGTTACCATTACAAATTGTAACCCCCAACCTGTACTGCTACTAAAATCAACCTATTCATTATCTTTGTGCAGCATCATGCATGTCTACACCAAGAACTGGTACACCACAGACTCACTCTTGTTTTACCTGTCAGAGTCTGCAATATTACCTTCTCAAATTCCAGAGTATCAACCCCAGTTTTATTTAAAATTTCTTGTTCTCACTGTTCTGTCCTTTTCATAATTGTTTACTTTTCCTAGTTTATGGGGCCTCCATTAGGTATTTTACTGGCTCTATTTTATTTTATTTTTTCCTTTACTTCAATCTTTCAACATCAGCTGTTTTTTTCTTCCAAACCTGTAGCATAGACTGGAAAAAGAAGAAGAGGATTTGGGCTAAAGTATGTGGAGAGAATGAACAAAACACAGCATACCTTGCAACCCTGGGGAGTTAAAAGATTAGCCAATCAGTACTATGCCATGTGCCCTTAGGTCATGGGAGACATGTCTTTCACCATCTGAACAAAAGAAAACCTAGGTGTACCAGGTGGTGTGTAGATATGTTCTGGTACTGGGGTCAATGTGGCAGACTAGATTTTTTTTTTCAAATATGGAGAAGAGAATCCCCCAGTTACGATTACAGGAGATTTTATGTTAAAAGATATCTAGTTAAGGGAGAGAATACTTAACAGTCCTTCTGCATGTGGAAGACCTTACTATGCACCTATAATATCAAAATTTGGTCCATTAATCACTATTAATAAATGATTTTAATGTAGTACAGTACATCAATTTATTTTATCAAGGACCATGTTTTCATAATTTTACACATTGGTCGTAATGTATTGATATTTGAGCAAAACTGAAATGCTGAGCACTTTATTTTACATAACTGACATACACCTACCACTGTTGATGGTCTTTAATCATAACAATTAGGTATGAAACTGTAAATTGAATCAGATTATTGACATTATGTTGAGACTCAAGATGTGTAACAATTTGCCATTCAAGTTTTATGGAAAATAGATGTACTGTACTGGTGGTTATTTTTTTGGTTACTGCAATGGAACCTCCTTATATTGGACATTCGATACTTTGGAAATTAGGTTTATCAGACACCAATCACCCATGAGACCAGGATACCCGATACTGTAAACTGGTATAAATCTGATAGTGTGTCCGAGGCTTGGCCAATTGCTGTGCTCTATGTATAGAACAGTACAATGAAAACTGAAGCTGCTTTATATATGGGCATAAAGTACATATATGTATGCCTACACCGTAAATATTTAATGACTTACAGCAAGAACTACTGTACTGATGAGCACCCCTCCCCCCCCCCCACCGAATATTACATTGAGTAGTTTTAATTGTCTTATACATCCTCTGTGTGTGTGTGTGTGTGTGGGGCCAGTTGTTAAGTTCATGTCCAACTTGTGGTGTTGCTAGGATCATGAGTGTTGACCATTAAATTTATTTCTTGTAATACAGTATAGTATAGCCACCAAGCAGAGATGCTGTGTCTTGGTGTTTGGAAGTCAGATGTTTGTAACTTGGGGAATTTATATATGCTAAGTTTAATGATTTGTATTTTTTAACTAGGTACTACAGAAACAGTAGTACGTAACTGGACTGTACCAAAATTTAAATTCGCCTGAGTCATGGTGCACTCCCAGTGAAGGTCCAATTTCAGTTGACTTCTTCCAGTGAAGCTCTAGTATCAGTTGACTGTGTCCAATAGAAAGTCTGGTATTGGGTTTATCAGAAAAATGGCTTTATTAAACCAACCTGATTAGTCCAATATACAAATGAGGTTCCACGAGTATTTCTTTTTCATTAATTTATGTAGTTTGTTTATTTTTTGCATTTGGCTAGAAATATTTTCTTGGGAGTTTTTTCATAATTCATTAAAATTGATAATTGCTCAAAAAATGGCTATTTGTCTTCTATGGTCTCACACTGGAGGTCACATCTGAATTACTTTCAAAATTTTCTGAAATTCCTAACCGCTATAGGCTATATATTATCCCATTTGCTTCCTGTTGGTCATATAGCTCATATTTATCAAGTGGGAGCCCTTCTTTTCCTGCTGTACAGAATTTACTTCATGTATAGCTTTATATACAACATCATTTAGCTCACTTGTAAATGGATTAAAGTCTAATGGGACATTTTTTGAGGCTTTCTTAAATAGGCCATCAGTGTTGGAGCCTACACAGTGGAGTCGGTCCTCATCATCAGGTAATTTTAAGTAACGCAATATCTTTCTCATTTCCTCTACTGGATCAATTTTTAGATTTTCATAAAAAGTGACATGCATATCCTTTGGCTTACTAAGTGTCAACCAGTCAATATTGAAGTCCTTCCATAGTCCAACCTTCAGAGTCACAAACTCAGTCCAACCTGGAAAAAACGGAAGACATATAAGTTAAATTATCAATACTGTTTACCTTGATTCAATCTTTGTCTTATACAGAAAAATATTAACCAACCTTATGAAACCTGAGTGAATCATTCATTACACTAATTGACTAAAATTTTAGTCATTTCATAAAATAACTGATTACACAGCTTGATTTATTTTATGGTAGCAAGTGCTATAACTTACCTCAACCATTTCTAATCGAGAATATATTATTACTTTAACATAATACCGTACGGTATAGGGTCAGGAAGGGTCCAGTTGGACAAAAGTAACCGCCACCATTTGCAAAGGTTGAGAGTAGCTGTGTGTGTGGTTGGAATCTAAGGGGGTGTTCATAGTCACTATACTCCACTTAACCAATTGGAAGCATCAATGGTGTTTGTTATTCAGAAATGCTTACAGGCCCAAAGGCAGTCCCGGTAGATTGGGTCTCCTATCTGAATCTCTGGAACAATTCATCAGGAGGGGGTGTAGTAACAGTCCCAGTGAGTACAGATTTTTTTTACCCTCCAAATTTTGATATAATGCACTTTATTGATAATATATTCACAACTGATGAGAAATGAGTTTGCTGGTAATAAAAATTCTTGTTTTCATATATATTCAAAGATTGTCGGTTAATTTCAAGCATTAAACAATCTCAGCTGATCATAAGCGTGCATCATCAAACATTGTGCCACCATTACTCGAGTCTTGAGTACTGCAGGCAGTATTTTAGAAGAAGCATCAACATTTACTTGGAGAGAACCTCTACAAGCAGATGTTGTCTGTATAATTAGAGATAATGCCAGGGTTATGTACAGTACTGTACTGCACAGTTAGCTGGAATCTTCTATCCCGGAACTCTCCAATAGCTGGAAAGATTTTTTGAAGATTCCAAGAAATTTGGTGAAAATTTCTTCATTTTGGACATGGGAACGAATTTTCAAGGATTTTATCATGCACATTTCTGGAAAAATCTGGAAAAATCTCTCCATTCTGGGCATGGGAATGTATCAGATGCAGGAACGAGAGGGGTGAGTGGGTGGGTAGGCTCAGAGCGCTCATGAGCTATGATTAGCCACCACTGTCATGTGACTGCATGGAATGCCTGTGATTGGTTGATGTATCTCACAACCTATCTTCTTAAATTCTTGCATCATGACACTCTGAGTTCATTGTCTGCTGCCATCGTACAAGCTTGTTCACTTGATCACTGCTGTTTTGTGACAACCGTGTTGTGCAGTACTGTACTATACATTACTGTACCAGTTTTTATCAGCCAAGAATATCATTAAAGCAGTGTTAAGACACAAAAGGTGATTACACTTATGTACTGTATACTATACTGTACATTTAGTAAGGTTTGAATTTTCCGGAAAATTCCGGCTTTGGAAACGATTTTCTGAGGGATACATTTCCCGATACCCAGAAAATTCCGGGGATGGGGGAGTTTTCTTTTTGGGTTTGAGAGATGAAAATCAGACACATTTTCCAGAAATTCCAAGAAAAATTTCGCACCCGGAAAATTACATAAAATTCCAGGGATGGGGATATTTTGCCAGGTTTGAGAGATGATGAAATGGGCAATTTCTGGAACTTCTGAGAAAATTTTTCCGTTACCTGGAAAATTCCGGGGATGAGGGATTTTTTCCGGCTTTGAGAGTCGTCTCGTTACCCAGAAATCTCACATTCCCGGAAGTGCTCTGCACCAATTGTTCCGGCTAACGGAGATATCACTGTAATAACATCCTGAAACATATTAAATCAAGTGCCGCATGTGACAGCTGACCAAGAGCATACCAACCACCGGTCGTCCTGCCCATTTGCACATGTTGGTAGCCCTACCCAGTGGATGAGTACCGTAGCAACATTCTTGAATAATGCGTGCCACCATGAGCTCGGCTCAATAGTCGGGATTGGTGTTATGATGAGTAATAGTGACATAGGGGTGACATACCTCGTGGCTCATAATAAAATATTCATCCTTACTAACTACATATATTTTTGTATTTTTATTTTATTACATACAAATACAGTAGCCTCTGGTCATTTCATGAAATTTTAGGCATTTTTTATTTACCAGATACCTTAATTATTTAATTTTTTCTGTACTGTATAGTGCGAGAATGTGTGTTATTTCAAGAGAAAAGCCAGGCTGGAACCATTTCAAATCAACTGCCAAGTCGATTTAACTACTGCGCATGAGCACCTTCCCAGTTAAAGTCAGTGTCATTCAGCCAGTGTTCACTCGGTCAAGGACAAATTCTCTTACTCCTGCAACTCCCCTTGAATTACCACATGCACCACTTACCAAGATGTCTACAGTAAACACTCACCAGCTTCCAGTTCAAGTGAAAAAAGAAGAGAAAGACATTTAATTTATATGAGAGAGTAAAAATTTTGGATGAATAAGACAGTGAAGTTTGTCAGTTGTGGCAAGCTAACACTGGGTAAATGAAAGCATGTTTTGCAGCTTCAAACTGAAGGCAGACAAATCTTTTATAGCATATGCACAACCATCCATATCAAGACCACCCAGCATTTATGGTTGCCACTGTACCAAAAAATGAAGGATGCTCTAAAGATTTGTGTAGTGGGCATGCAACAATGTAAAGCTGCAATGAAAGGCCTGATGATTCAGGCCAAGGCAATGCTGCACGACTCATTGGGGAGGCTGCATCAGCTGATACAGCTGTGGTAGAAAAAGTGAAGGGAGAACTGATGAAATGACAGAGGAGCATGCAAGAAACCCGTAAAAATATTTTTTGTTTTTTCCACTTATTTGAGTGTGTAGAAAACCTTTGTTTGGTCTTTATAGTTGTGATGGCAAAAGCAAACTTACAACATCAGGAACCAAGTCAGTTGTATACTGGATTATGGTTGTGCAGCTTGAGAAAATTTTTCTGTACAGTATTAGATACAGTATTGTATATGCTTTATTATCTTATGAAAAGCCCCCAAATATGGTCAATAATAAGCATTAATAATACATGTATACCCTGAAAATCCACATCCCAATAACCGCCGATTCACATAACCTCCGATTACATATAGGAGAAACACTATACCCCACAAGTTTCGTTGAAACCCCGGAGATTCGACGATCAGGAGAGGAGCAGCAGAGCTGTTTTGAATTTGGCGGGTGGATGTACGGTGCGAATTCTTGCCACGAGAGGGCTCTGCTCACTGCCTCTGACTCATTCCCGTCTCTGCACTAGTTTATACTTACCATGTGTCTCCGACTTCGTATTTTTTTGTTATTTCCGACTTCATGTGTTGTGCAATCAGGTCTAAACACCCCAGTGATAGTTCCTTTTGTGCTGCCCCTTTTAGGCAGCCTGATGTGATGTGATAAGGCTTAATGAGAGTGGTGATGGATCAGCAGAGATTGGTAGAGACTTGAACTTGTCACCCTAGACTGGTTCTACCATCCTCAACACAGGTAAATAAGTCTCAATTTATGTTTTACATTCCTTATTTAAGGCTTATTATGCTTGCTTTATATGTCTGCTTTATTTTCTTGCTTGACATTGTGCATGACATAGATATATCAAGGGTAGATGGGATTTTATTTATTTATTTATTATTTTTTTTTGGGGGGGGGGTGAGACCCCCTGAGTTTGTTATATTCTTTAGGGGTTAATTGCTTCGATAAATGGTGATTCACTAACCAACAATTTTTCACGGTCCCTATATGCATCGCTTATTGGGGTACTCTCTGTATGCCTGTGTATTAGCCTCTGTTTGACGCCACAACCGCATCCAACCCATACGAGCACGAACTGATCACTATAACAACAGCCCAGTCCCAACCATTGTAAAAATTACCAATAACTTGTAATCAACCAGTGTATTCACTCCCAGTCAATCTTACTTTTTGCACTGTCACTGTTGAAACGCCCTGTAGGTTGACCTTCTCCCCACCTAGTTATTATATATCATATTTGTATCACTTATGTTACTTGTATATTATTTGTAAATCAAGAGACCCATTCCCCAGTTATGCAACTGTATATTTTCAGCCTTCCGGCTGCCATACTCTTTCAATAAACCGTTAATTATTATTATTATTATCATCATGACAATAGAGATCACACAGGTGGAGGTGATGTCACACTGATGCGTGCCATAAGCACGAGTGATGTCACAAACGCGTGCTGTACGCACGAGTAATGTCACTGAAACACGCTCCATACGCACGAGCGATGTCACACCGACACGACAACAGAGACCACAGAACAGTGTAGGGGTTCATTACACAACTGCCAAGCTCATACAGTTGATGCCACAAACACTACCATGCCCCAGTGTAACAATTTAGCTGTTTTGTTTCCTTTTTATCTCATGGGTAGCTGTGGGCCCGTAGGGACAAAGTGTTTTTCTTTACAGTCGCTTAGTTGGTTATCTTAATTGTAAACACACTCTTCACTTCCTCTCTCCCTCTTACTCTCCTCTCTCCCTCTTATTCTCTTCTCTCCCTCTTTCTCTCCTCTCTCCCTCTTACTCTCCTCTCTCCCTCTTACTCTTTCTATTCTGCCTGTATCTTCACTTACACATGTTGCTGGTGCGCACAATTGTGCGTGGCGGTGACATTATGTTTTAAAGCACTTGAGCAAATTATGTCTTGTTTCCCTCATGTCAACTAACATGAGGACAGATGAATTTATATTAGTTTCTTCTAAGAATCATACCATTGATCCATCCAAGCTAAAGAGGGTGAAATTAATGATTCAAAAAATTATAACAAATTTGTTTATCCTCTCGAGAATTACAGTGTTTGTACACTGCTTAAATGCTTAACAAGCATTCTTTCTGCTCAGTAGCTTAAGCTGTGAGACTTCTGTCTTCATTTACTATTCCATTTTCATACATAATTCTTATTAGACAAAATTTTATTTACATACCTTTGCCCAGGAAGTGTGCTTTTGGAGCATAGCCTGTGTGACCACCAACATCCAAATGGCGATGGGAGATAAGAGCTTTGAATGGGTTGCGGATTACCAAGACGCCTTGATGGCTCAACTCATCCATGTGATTCTTTGTTCGCTGAAAGATATAAAAAATGCAAAATTAATTTTTTTAGATGACAGGTGCAACTATAATGTCAAAATAGTCTGTTACTAATTAGAAAAAAGTTGAAGCAAATGCATGAATACAACTTCATAACCTGAGTTAAGAGGAGCATGTTGATGTGTCTTGGATGTGTAGAGACTGGTGAGGATCCAGAAGGGCACAATAAAGGAACAAGTTTTAAGAGGCAGTTCAAAGAGCAGCAGGGCTCTCACTGATAAACAAAATTCTGGTAAAAGTGCTGTCATCAATGGAAAAAAAGGTGTAGAGCACTTAGTTAAAAGTGAAAGAATTGGCACTAAAGAGCAAGAGAAATATCCAAAACTTAAATATGTCTCAAATTGGTAATTGATTATTAATACAGTAATAGTTTCCTACTATGTTAGGACTGTTCTAGTATAGCCTACTCAAAATCCCTGTGGACAAATTTAAAAAAAAAACTATTACAAAAGTTAATTTTACTCTGAAGCATTAATTTGAATTTCTTTAATAAAACTACTTACCCTTTCTTCATGAGACAGTTTCATGGCATCCCCAGTGGTGTATCCGTGACTTTTCTGGAGAATCGTCATGCCAGAGTCATATACTATACCTTCACCATACATGCCTGCAACAACCAGAAGGATACACAATTATCACAATGAATTAAAACAATGCAATCATACAAAAGGACGTGTAAGGAGATGTATGCATAATAAAAATGAATATGTGTACAGGACTGGACACATTTCCACGTGCCCTTGGTTATGTGTAAACATGTATTCACATAAACATACATAAATCATTTCTCTAGTGTGGTTAACAGGAAGGAAGGATTAAAATATGAAGTCCCATTTTATGACAGGGAGGAGAAAGTTAGTGACTTATGGGGTCCATACTTTTACTGTACCACTAAATGTTATCTCTCCATCTCTCAAGTGTATGTTGCTTTGATAGTACATATGGGAAATAAAATGAGTCATTGTTTGCCCCCTTTTGTTCTTTATGCTAATATTCTAATACTGCACCATAACTATAACAAAGGCTGCAATAAAATGTAATATGGCTGTAAAATGATGCATTAGTCTAGAAATATACAGGTCGAGTCTGCAGGACAGCTTGTTCGACCAGTCAGATGGCCTGACTGACAACGGTCTCCATGTGCATATGTAGAGTAGCTAAAACAACTATCTGTGCAGGTGGGGGGCGATATGCTCCGAAATTTTACGTGTGACTAGTGACAGCCCTCATATACCAGAATTTTTTTGTTCATGGTCTAATATTGTTTCCCACAAAGTATGTACAGATAGTTGTTTTAGCTACTGTACAGTTGCCCACAGGTATTATGTTTCACCCCTAGGTGGCCTTTCCGAACATGTGGCAATGTTGGAATCGCTTTATGAATGAAATACATTACAGTATCACCCAAAAAATATATTGTTGCCAACTGCTCTCATCATGTTACCAATCCATTTATAAATAGAGTATAACATTACCACATGCTCGGAAAGGCCACCAAGGGGTGGAGCACATTCCTGAACATAACTCATATATGCACTAATGTTCCGTAAACAGACTTACGTATTTTTGGGTCTTAGAGAGGAGTAGGGGTGTTCCTTGTACGACTTACAAGAGTATTCTGCCCTCCTGCTGTAGTAGAGGGGGCCACTGAGCTATGTATGGCGCCTGGTTCTTATTAACATTCCAGCGTCTTCACCATGTCAACAAGCCTGCCTGGCACCTCCATTAACTACCTTTCTCCCTTTCCCTCCAAGTTCACTACCCAGTTGTCTCCGAAACTTAAATATCTCCTGGTTCTTCTCATTGGCGGTAACAAGTTCATTAGATGTTCAGGTTTTAGAGTAATGGATTTTACAGGTTCTACTGAATTGAAGTTACAAAAAGTTACCCTACCTTTCCTGGTGAGAGAGCTGTCATCATAGAGTGACCCTGTGAAGATGCCAGTAGCTCCTTCAATAAGATACCTAGAAGCAACAACAGGTTTTATATTAACAATCTGGGGGTAGTGCGATGGACTTTGATATCCTATGAAAATAATCTTAATTAAAAAGTACACTTCCATCAAAACATGTTACTGTACTCTCTTAACTTCACTACATTACCCTTTATCAACATAATGATAAATTTACAATATAGTACAGTACCCTTCTTTACCAGCTTGAGGTCTACATGGGATATACTTTAATCACCAAAATAGTATACATGTATATGGGTATTTTTTCAATATGGGATAATGTTAGTATAAGAGTAGTAATGTAAATGTAGACCATTCTTTGATAAAATCCATAATATACTAGAGGGGTGATTTCTTTAACTTGTGGTGTTTGTATATTGACAATTGATAAATTAAATCTCATATAGTACTAGAAGTTGAAGAAGGGATTTATATCAACTTAAAAGACTACTTGAAGGATCCCTAAGTTGATTTTTTTTAATATGGGAGCCAGTAACTTAAAAAAAAAATAAAGGTGCAATGTGCAAGATCTAGTAATGTTTGGACAGTTAAGACTCGAATAACGACGGTAATATGTCCTCCAATATTGCAGTGTAAGGTGTATCGTCATTTCATGAATCATTAATTACCATTATAATAAAGCAAAAATAATGAGATGCTTCCCCAATGTGACATTTTCATAACTTTTGTGTGGCTTTTTACCCTCTCTTTCCCCCAAACAATACAATTAATGAAAAATGCAAACTATAATCTTTATATAATGTTTATGAATGCACCTTATACAATATAAATCAATAATAAGATCACACAAGAGGAGATGCAACGCTATTGTTGTTGTCGTGTTTACACCCATAATGTCAGTTATCCATCTGAAACAAGAAAATAAGACCCTGGTTGTTGCTATAGTAAAATTAATGTAAAAAAATATGTTTGTTTTAATTAATGTTATTTAATGTACAGTAAAAGTAACCATTGATGTTAAAGAAAAAGAGAGATTGATAGTGGAACGGCAATGTATACTTGTGCCCTCAAGGAAACCGCGTCATTTATCTTAAGAATATGTACAAAGATTCATTAGTGTTTATTACTGAATATGTATTTGATTGAATTAATGTTTATGTATGCGAAATAAACAATGCAATTCATTAATAATACGTATAATATTAAAACACACGAGACGAGACAGCATTGTTTTCCTTCATGTTTACAACACCCGTGGCAAATGAAGATGGTTCTACTTCTACATAAGAAACTGAAGAAATAAGACCCTGGTTGTTGCTGTAGTAAAATTAATGTAAAAAAATGAATATGTATGTATTAATGTTACTTAATGTTAATAAATGGAACAATAGAAGTAGCTAACCATTAATAAAAAAAAAAACGAAATAGATTGGGAACGCCATCGTATGTAAGTGCATATACGTATGTGAAAACATCGTCATTTCTCAAGTACTGTACATAAGAATATGAAAGCAACGGTTATTACTGTTCATATATGTTTCAAATAATACTTACTAATGTAAAAAAAAAATTCTACTCACAAATGGTGGTAAAGTCTAAAACATAAGGACAGCCAATGAATATTGTGCGATTTTTTACTCAGATGATTTCGTCAATCAGGTTCAACTCTGGTTGAAGCTGAACATAAGAAAATAAGGAGTCTGCAATAGGCTGGTTGGCCTGTGCATGGCAGCTCCTGTCCACGAATCTATCTAGCCTTCTTTTAAAACTTTCCAGTGTTCCAGCACTTAATACAAAGTTGCTAAGCTTGTTCCACTCATCTACCACCCTATTTGAGAGCCAGTTTCTTTCCATCTGCCTCCTAAACCTAAACTTATCCAACTTAAATCCGTTGCTACGAGTCCTAGCCTGCTCGGATATTATAAGAACTTTATCTATATCTTCTTTATTGATTCCTTTCATCCACTTTAATACTTCTATCATATCATAGCTATTGCTAAAACTGTTACTGAACCTGAAGTTGTTGCTGAAGCTGCTTATGATACTGAATTTGTTGGTGTAGCTGAAGTTGGTGGTTTAGGCCTTTGAATAATAAAGCTGTCAAAAGAACCTTTCACAGCCTCTTTCTTTTCTTATTACCGTATACAGTACATCTGTATGTAGAGGTCCTATGTGTTTTTCACACCCCTGTTAATTTTAATGCTTTGTTCTGTTAATGGATCCTCTTCAGAAAATAATAATATATTCATTGCTTGCTCCATATAATATCCACAGACATCTCACCTTTTTCATATCGTTTAAACACATCTAGTTTCTCGGCGAAGCTTATACACTTTTTTTAGTTGTTGAACCAGCACTATCATATCTTGCTCTCTTGCTCATGTTGAATAGAGATGAAAAATATCCCGTAAGAAACCTGAGAATGTTTTTCTCCTTTTCCTGTTCAGATGCGTGAAAACAAAGGGCCCGCCAACTGCGACTGTTTATATTAGTGATGAAGGCATCACCCTCACAAGCCCGGCAGCCTCTGTGTGCAAAGCTTTTTTTTTTTTTTTACATAACAGGATTTAGTTATTATTTATATGAAAATGTAATTTTACTTTATTTTTTTATAATATTTTCGTCATAAATACGAAGAAAATAATTGTGTAAATTGAACTGGGTCCTAAATTAACCAGGGTCTTAAATATGAATCATCGTTATGGGAGGCTTTCCTGTACAGGTACTGTATAAATTGCAATTACATTGTCCCACTTTTTACGTTATACAGTATCATTCAAAATTTCTACAATTGACCAATTTGTGTTGTCACAACTTCACATTTCATTCTCAACAATACGCCATACCTATTGTTCTTCCCCTCTAGAAGCTTCCGACTTTCCTCATCCCCTGTTCACCTTCAGCTTTGTTTTGCAGTAGTAATATGGCTTTTATGTTAAAACAAAGTACCATTGTGTGAGGCATCATGTACCTGATCCAAGTGTTTCCAGAAGATGGGAAGGAGACAAGTGCTCGGGTGGGGAGTGATCCTGAGGGCTTGAAAGTGATACTGTAGTTGGCGCACTCCTCATTTTTTACCCATGGGTAATGCGTTCTGGAAACACAAAAAGAAAATTATTCGCTGTAGTCTCTCTTGGTTATAGGAACAACTCTTAACACCTATAATAACTGAATTGAAAGTAATTAACATGATTTATGTCATAAGAGAAAATTTGAGCCATTAGCCTTTATCCACTTTATTATCTAAGAGGTGGAATTTTATCATTTAGAAAACAATGTGGCTGGATTTCCTCAGTGGGATATTGTGATTCAACAATAATGTACTGACAATTAGTATTATAAGCTTATTTAAGATCTTGACCATTGGTCAATAATTCATGGAAAGGGACATGAAAAGCAAACAATCTAATCCTTGTTCTATGCTAATGACAAATGAAGTGTTTGAGAAAATGATCATCTAATACACTTAACCATTAAATAAAAGTCTTGGTGAATGAATTGAATGTCTTACAGCTTTATCTGCTCTTGACTCACAGATAATGTATCTTGGTGTACTGAATTAATAACTTAGTTACAGTAAAGTATCATCTTAAAGAACAGCTAAAATGAAACCTTATATACTGTAATTGTTTTTTGCAGCATTGGAAGATGTTGAGGTGCTGACACAGGCATTTCAGTTTTCCATACCAGTTTTGGTCAGTTTATAAAGACAATTAAATTTAAAACATACTGTACAGTACATTATTGCACTGTATTAAGACTGGTTAAATAAGCTAAAAATAAAATACCTGTACATGTAATATTTTAATAATCATGGCTCACAAGGTCACTGGGTGAAGCAGTAGCAAGATACTGATGCTAGGTTATTTTGACAAGGAACACTGATGTTTATAGTAACTCAGAGTTTGATCTAATGTCAGTAGAAAGAATTTCTTCTTCTGATAAACCTCATCAAAATTAAATCCGGTGAAAGCAAATCATCTCACAGTGTATATATGTACAGTGCAGTAGACTCACTGTTGATGTGTCGCTACAAAATTAAAACCATATGTCCTGGCTGGGCCTCGCAGTCTAGCACTGCATTACAACTAGTGGTGCAGTTTCAAGTACGTACTTACTGTACTGTATTGGATGCTTTTCACTATTCATGTTTATTATTGGCATACAATCATTATGTACACCAAAAACTGCCATTAAAAACATTGTAGCATTTTAAGATGTTTTGGGGAATATTTTTTTAAGTGGAATGTATTTCAGCTTTTTTAATGAGAGTCAATAGAAAAATGGGATCAAATTTGTGAAAGACTTTTCAGAAATGGAAACCATTCACCATCAGAAGACTAATTAAGAGGGAATAGAAAAAGTTGGGAATGAGCCATGGTGGGCACATGTTGCTCATACCCACTCTGGTAAAGAACCAACCCATCATTTGAGTATACCAATGAGGGGTCACCGAACACCTTAAGTCTGGCCTAAGTGACTCGTATAGTATCCCATTAAGTCTATGGGGTCATAACCCAGGTACAGGGTAGCCCCTAGCCTAGACAATGACCCAAACTCAGGAGGGTGTACAATGGCGTAAGCTAGAACTGCAAATGAATTTGCCGAGAATACGATTGCAGTGCACCAGCTCATTACAACTAGTTTCCTGTGCCCAGCCACTTCCATTAGTATATCATGCCAATGTTTTCTCCTGATGATCAGCTTGGTTGTGCAGGTGTAACTGGTCTCTGATTAATGCATACCAATATGTCAGAGACAAGGCTATACTGTACAGTAACTGTATTACAATTTATATTGCCATGACCTCAGTCTGTAGATCAAAATGGAGATGGTTATTTAAAAATACAAAATCATAAATACGTGTTACGTGGAATCTGTGGAAATAGATCTTATACATTTCTACTGAAGGTTTACTGTATTGTCTCTCAACCAGTAACCATTCCATTTCCAATTACAGTTAGTCCTCGCTTAACGTTGCCCCCGATAACGTTGTTTCGTTATAACGTCGCTATTCTTTAGATATCCATGATTCGCATAACGTCCCGCCAATTCAGTATAATGTCGTCATGGACTACTTTGTATGGCGCATCTCATCTTGATGCGTTACACTCCCACCTGCAGAGCGTCACGGCGTCCCCAGTCTTTGTCAGGCTACCACGCGTTTGTGCGTGTTAAGTGTTTTTGCTCTTAAAATTGTACTCTAACCATTTGAAATGGCTTCCAAGCACCCATCAAGTGCTACTGATGCAAGTGTTGTGAAGAAGCAATTTAAGACCATTAGCCTTGCTACAAAAATGGAGGTTTTAAACCGTTTTGAGAAAGGTGAAGAGGAGCCACCCGCTGGGTCTCAGTAACTAGCCTTCCTCCTCCTCCTCTCCCGCCATCCTCCTCCGCTCTACCACCCACCAAACACCTCCGTCCATCAGTGAGTACAATACAAAATTATTTAGTGTATATATATATATACTGTATATATATATATATATATATATATATATATATATATATATATATATATATATATATATATATATATATATATATATATATATATATATATATATATATATAGAAACCACAATGAAAACGTGAATAAGATAAATCTTGATAAAATCACAGGAAAAGAAACAACGGGCACTTTCGTCTTTTATTCCTGTTTTATATATATATATATATATATATATATATATATATATATATATATATATATATATATATATATATATATATATATATATATATATATATATATACACGGTATATATATACGGTATATATATATATAATTTATTTATTTATTTATTTTCTATAAAAATGCCATTGAATTTCTGTACTGTATATGTAATGTTTTTTATGGGGCAAAGGAAGGCTGGGGAACATAACTCCCATATTTTATCTATTTCTCATGGGAAAAATTGATTCCGTTAACATCATGGTTTTCAGGAATGGAACCACGACATTAAGCGAGGACTTACTGTACTGTATATGAGATTGAATTGGTGTAAACTCACAAATTAGAGAAAATCCTGTGCTGTGGTGGCCACTGCTCTGGAGGAAGCTTCTTCAAGGACACTGGGAGTCGTACTTGCATGCGTGGTGTTGACGTAATTCTCTCGCCACCGCCTTTTAGTGGAATTATTTGTTTCTTCGCTCGAAGATGCATCAAGTAAGCCTTCTCCTGCATCGTACGTAACTTAAAAAGAATTGAGTATTATTGTATTGGGAACCAGTATACAATGTACAGTACAGTATTTGTTAATTTGAATTACTCTCTAAATCTTAAGATTATACATCATACATTTTAAATTTCATGCCTTACAGACTTCCTCAGTGACCGACGCCGAGCTGTACGCTTCCGAGGGGCTGTCTCCACCTTTCAGTCACTCACCTGTGGCGTCCCCCAAGGCACCAAGATGGGACCACTCTGCTTCCTTATGCTCATCAATGATGCCCTAAGAGAAACTCCTGCTCGCTGGAAATATGTTGACGACTCCACCATTGGGATCAGCGTCAACAATTCTGCTCCCGACTATACCACCCTTCAGGATTTATTGAACAGTCTCCAAAACTGGGCCACCAACAACCATGTCACCATCAACCATACCAAGACCATGGTTATGCACATCAACCTCTCCTCCGACATTGTCCCACCTCCTTCCATTACTTTAGGTCCGAACACACTCCAGGTTGTAGATTCCACGAAGCTCCTCAGCGTCACCATAGACAACAAACTAAATTGGAAACCACATGTTAGTGAAGTTGTCAAATCCTCCAGTTTCCATCTCCGCCTCCTCCGCCGACTCAAGTCCCTCGGAGTTCCTGCACCCGAGCGCCTCAGTGTTTACACAACATTCATACTTCCCAAGCTCACCTATGCCCTCCCTACCTGGTCTTCCTCCCTAAATGCCACACAATGTAAACACCTAGAAAAAGTGCAAAAGAGGGCATGCAAGATTATCCTCTCCCCTTCCTACTCCACATATCAAGAAGCGCTCAACACACTGACCCTTTTGACTCTCACTGACCATCACCACGACCTCATCTGCAAATTTGGTAAGAAGCTTCTACACCATCCTGGACACCGGTTCCTACTACCACCTGAGATCCCTAGCCCGAGAATTGCTGTTCGACACCACAACCGCATCCAGCCCATACGAGCATGAACAGATCGCTATAAGAACAGCCCAGTCCCAACCATTGTAAAAATTATCAATAACTTGTAATAAACCAGTGTATTCACTCCCAGTAAATACTACTTCTTGCACTGTCACTATGTTGAAATGCCCTGTAGTTTGAGCTTTTCCCCATCTAGTTATTATATATCTTATTTGTATCACTTATGTTACATGTATATTACTTGTAATTCGAAACCCATTCCCCAAATATGTAACTGTATATTTTCAGCCTTCTGGCTGCCAAGCTCTTTCAATAAACCGTTAATTATTATTTATTATTAATTATTATTATTATTATTATTATTATTATTATTATTATTATTATTACGCACACACACACACTTCACAGTAAATAGGAATACAGATAATTGCGAAATAGTGTTAATTACCTGGTACTATAGTAAACTTACCAGTATTAAAGAATAAGTATTCACCACATTACTGAAGGGTTTACTGAAGTTTTCAACCCAGAGACTGACTATTCTACTGTACTGTACTATAATACCAGTTACAGAACTTTAATTAGGACTTCAAGCCACAAGAAAAATATAAATAGAATACCTTTGAAACTCTCTCCTCCGCTACTTTTTTATCTTTGGGGTTCATGTTTGCCAAAAGGTTCTTTTGGTTAGTTGTCAGTTTGTATCCATGCTGGAGGGCTGTTATTGCTGTCTCTTGTGCCTTCATAACATGTTCTACTTCCTTTTTGTTTCGAGGAATGTCCATTGCCAACTGTACCGTACAAGAACAAAGTAATTAAATAAGGTAACATATGTTTGGAACTAAAGAGGAGAAACAAAGCCTCACCTTAAACAAGAACAAAGTAATATAAAGGAGGATCACAACTTGCATGGAAGATGGATTCTTGAAGTATGCTAATTAAGTGAAAATTCATGCTACTTTCCTAGACTCTCCATGCGAACTCAGACACCACAGTAGTACTGTACATAAGTACAACTTACTAACCCTGCCGAATGATGTTGGGTGTGGCCTTGTATTCCTTTTAAATTGTGCGCCATTCTTTAAAGTGCCAAATGAAAGTAACATTTAATAAGTGAGGGAAAAACGATTTGTGACAACTCCAGGCAGTTGTCTCCCAGCCCTGCCAAGCAATGTACCTCAGTTGCTCAGTAAATGAGATATGACACTCACGTCCTGGTGTACCCCCACCCCGCCCCAGGTGCTACCCCCACCACATCAAGCGCCCCACCCACCACATCAGGCGCCCCACCCACCACATCAGGTGCCCCACCTACCACATCAGGTGCCCCACCCACCACTCGCCAGGACCCGTCTTTGTACCAGTGGACTCCTAAAAGTACCTAAGACTTTTTTTATTATTTTTTCTTCATTTGGGTGGTTGCCATAAAGAGTGAAGCTGTTCATCTATGATGGTCGATTACGTCACTTAGTCACTTAGGTGGCCCATATAGGACTTTGTCTTGCATTTCCACACACTATAAACTACTTTCAAAGAAACCGTAATAACAAAAACCACAAATGACTTTTTTCTGATTTTTTATTTTATTTCATTTAACTGTATTTTATTTTAATTTATTTTTTCTTAGTTTTTGGGGTATGCAAGATTAGCCGATTGGTGTAATAAAAGGGTTAATACCCTTAGCCCTTTGGCTTCGGGAGGTTACCCTAAGCTGGATAAAATCGTCTGCCAGCAGCCAGAATAAAATGGTAATGTGGAAAGTGCAGCGAAAGGGTTAAATATAACACACACAACTGTAATACAGTATGCAGCTGCATGAATGTTGCATGTAGTAATCTCCCCATTAGCCAGGTTTGAGAGATTTCCAGGTAAGGAGACGAATTTTCTTATCCCATAGAAAAAATCGCGCATCCCGGAAGTTTCCTGGGTACAGTTTTGGTGTTATAGGTCAGGGGTCACCAAACTTTTTTCAAAGTGGACCGGATAACTGAAAGAATGACGAGCGCGGGCCGCATAATCATTCTGTTCAATACTTGCAAGTTCCATACGTTTTATCAAGCAAATTCAAGTACCGTCGGCGGGCCTGATGAACTGACGTCGCGGGCCGGATTCGGCCCGCGGGCCGTAGTTTGGTGACCCCTGTTATAGGTGAATGTTAAAAATAAGTTACACTGACAGAAAAACAAATGAAAAAGTACTAAAGTTACCAAAAAACTTTAAGATAAATATGTACAGTAGAGTATATATATATATATATATATATATATATATATATATATATATATATATATATATATATATATATATATATATATATATATATATATATATATATATATATATATATATATATATATCATGTAAATCACAATGAAAACGTGGATAGATAAATCTTGATAAATCTGCGGGAAAATGGAAATATACCTTGCTTTCTTTATTCAAGCGTCTTGAATAAAAGAGCGCTAAAGCTATATATATATATATATATATATATATATATATATATATATATATATATTACAAAACTTTTGTGACAAAAGGGGAATGTTTTGAGGGTGCCACAGGGAAATTTGGCCAAGGAGACCTGGCAATATTCATTCCAGATCTCAGCTGGGTGCATGAAGTGAAGGCCAAACCTCCCAGCACTCCCAATAGTGCCATACTGTCCAGGCATATCTTGACATAAGAGCTATATCAAAGCCAGGTCAACCAGGCTTTACATGACATAATATGTATGGCATGGTTCCAAAGGGGTTAAATTTCTCAAAAATCTAAAATTCAAGACCGTTTTCTGATAACCAAATGAGTGACAACATTTCTTTAACAGGCCAATATAATTTTAGTTTTGAGGATACATCATCTGAACCTAAAGTACAGTACAGTATTAATAACCCATCCCACTACTGCACTGCACAACAAGCCTGAAAATCACTTGCCGGAATTTTCGGCTGTGAGAGGAACGGCAAACTGTACGGGCCGGACGAAGAAGGAACAGCTGCAGAGTGCGGGGAATTTTGCTGCAGGTTCTCTGGTCCTGTGGAACTCAAGCTGGGGTTATCCTCTGGAGGCGCCTGACCAGAATGTTTAGGCCCTGTGTAGTCGTCGGTTTCTTGGATGCGACGTATGCCATGCGAGGGGCTCCGGTGAAGTGTTGCGTCGGGGTGCGGAGTAAAGGCAAGCACCAGCAGGCACAGGGATGCCCCTATGATGAGGGTGATGAGGGCACGGTGTCCCTTATTCCATCGGCCCACACGAATCATCCACAAAAACCCTGCAACACCAGAAGACAATGTTAGTGCTTAACAACAGTATTGATAAATTAAGCTAAACTAACTCTACAACAATTTTGGTAATCCAGTATTTACTCTTAAGATACCAAATGATGGTGGAAAAGAAAACTGGCACACTCAAACTTTCAAATACATAAAACAAAAAGGTTACAAATCAAATTAGAAGTTTTTTCTTTCAGACAAATGATTACAAGGTTACAACGTTCTTATAAGTGTCGTTGGCTCAATTCCGGTGCATTCCCAGTCCATCCAGCTGGTGCTGTTGGTAGTACCAAGGATAGTTCACCAAGCACTTATTTTACCCACAATGCACAGATCGGTGACATCACTGTTGTAAATACACGTCATCTGGTGAGCTTCGTGTGTGCCCGCATCTGTTCCCAGGAACAATGTATCTACAATTATGCTTATTTGTGCAACATACAGGTGCACCAGTAATGCTCAGATCCCAAGCAGAGAGTACATCAAGTATTACAGATTTCCCAGAGATAAGACAACTTATGATAAATGGATAAATGCCTGCAAATGCTCTGAAAATATCAGGTCCTCCAGAAGACCGTGACATTGTTATTGCCACATCTGACAAAAGAAAACAATAATATTTCCCCATATATAAGAAAAACCAGAGTTACATCACTTAATTTATTGGCAATGGTCGTGATGCTTAATGCCTAGAGAAACTTGTTTTAAATATACATTGTAAGGCAATAGCCAATTGTCCAAAGTACCCTCAGACATTCACCTTGCCATATCTGGCAAAAGGAAAATCTTTGCATTGCTAAGAAGCTCAAAATTTGAGTTGCTTCCTCCATGTCTTCAGCGAAATGCCTAGAAAACCCCCTCCCAGGTGTCTGGTGAAGGGTCCGTCATACGGGCGTTGAAGTGGGTTGAGGTGAGCATTGCACCTGATGAAGACATACTCAGCAATGAGTAGTGCAGGAGGGATGTGTTCAGGGTGATGGGAAGGCTGGCATGGGGCAGTAGCCTTGAATGCAGAAACTGCCTGTCGTAGTGTTTGCATTATATTGTGATAGACAGCAGGAGTGAAGTGGTCAAGGTCAGGAGTAAGTGAGAAGTCCCCAGGTAGGCGAAGGGGCTCGCCTAGGGTGAGTGCAGTCCATGTCCTCTTTGTGTGATGCGCGGATGCCAAGGAGCACTAAGGGTAGAGCATCCGTCTAGCTGTAGGGGTCGTGCTGTGCCTTGATGGCGTCCTTCAGCTGATGATGAAACCGCTCTACCATGCTGTTGGCCTGAGGGTGATAAGCAGTAGTGCGGTGCCTGGTAGTAACGAGGAACTGCAGGAGACTATGCCAGAGTTGTGACTCAAACTGGACTCCTTGGTCAGTGATGACAGTAGTGGGAGGACCGAAACGGGAGACCCAACCAGACAGGAAAGCAGGGACGGTTGACTCTGCTGTAGCATTAGGCATGGGAATGGCTTCTGTCCACCTGGTGAAACGGTCAATGCAGTTGGAGATGTAGGTGTTGCCGCAGGATGCTGGACGTGGTCCCAGGATGTCGAGGTGCACTACCTGGAAGTGTCCTTTGGGTATAGGAAAGGTTTCTAAGGGAGCCTGGGTATGTCGATGTATCTTTGACGTGTTGGATGTCGTTGGTGAACTCCGAGATGTAAGCCAATTGGCGAAGAACGCGAAGTGTATGAGCCCCGGAGGCTGAAGCCAAGGCATGGATGAGGGGTTTGTTATCAGTGAAGATGGTGAACTGAAGGGCCTCGAGGAAGTGCTGGAAATGCTTGACAGCCAGATATATGGCCAGGAGCTCTCGATCGAAGGCACTGTACTTGAGTTAAGGTGGGTGAAGCCGCTGTGAGAAGAAGGCAATGGGTATGAGAGTTCCATTGATCTCCTGTTGTAAGACGGCACCCACGGCAGTAGAGGAAGCATCTGTTGTGAGTGGTCTGGGCGATGGGGGCAGGGTGCGCTAACAGGGTAAGGCGTGTGATGTGCTGCTTGATAGTGATGAAGAGACTCGGGGTGATAAAAGTTCATTGAACTCCTCGAGCAGGTAAGAGAACTCGTTGGACGGCTAGAGACATGGGATGGTGTCGGTGACTGAAGCACGTGTACCCCAGATCGTGTGTGATGTAGGCTCGTGGATGAGGCAGAGGTTGCTTGAGTCAGTGACGAGCTTTTGGAAGGTGAGGAAGTTGAAGTCAAGGAAGGGTTGAGAGATTTCTGCCACCATGAAAGACCAGCACAGAGTCTTGGGAAGACCAAGGTCTAAAGCGAGGATGTGTGTGCCATAGGAGGCAATGGGGGTATCGCTGGCGGCGAACTATCATATGAGGGTTACTTTGACATGTCTTGCGGTGAGGGAGGGATGATGCTGACTGATGCCTCTGTGTTAATGAGAAATTTCCTGCCGGAAATGCGATCAGTGATGTGCAGCAGTGAGACTCCTGAAATAACGGAGGTTGTGGCGTCTACCAATCCCCGGCGACGTCATTTCCCAAGTAGTTGTAGGGAGCCTCACAACGGCTAGCGTTAGCACCAAAGTACAGTATTGATGGAACCAGCAGAGGGTAGGTGCACTGTGCTGGGAGCTGACGGCAACCTCTGAGGCAGGACGGAGACATCGGGGCTGGTAGGACACAATGCATGGGGCAGGAGCAGCAGCAGGCTTGGAGGAGTAGAGCTGCTCGAGGGTGTCCAGCCTGCAGTGTAGAGACTGTAGCAGGTCCCTCATGTCTTGTGAGATGTTGCTCGTCTGAGGAGCGTTGATCCGGTTGACGAGATGGGAGCTAAGTGATGGCGTGGCCACTGAGTTGTCCGCAGCAGCATGGCGCACAAAAGTGTATTCATGGAATACGCTGTCTGCCGTGGCTGCAGAGGTTGTAGAGTAGTTCAGTGCTGACAGGGCGAGACGAACTTCTGCAGGGAGCTTCTGAGCATGAAGCTGGCACAGAACAGTGTCAGAAAGCATGTCGGTGTGGGGAGAATTCAGTCCCTGCATCTCATCCCAGAGACGTGCAGTTGTTGAGTTGCCGAGGGACATACCTGATAGGTCTTGCAGGAGACTGGTGCCAGACTGCTGGTATCGCCTCTTGAGAGCATCTCGTAGAGGTGCGAATTTGTTGTCATCTGGAGAGTTGGTGATGACTTCTGATACTTGTGTGGCGACTTCTGTCGGCAAGGAACAGACCAGGGTGACGTACTTCTGTTCGTCTGTGGCTGTTGAGCCGGTGAGAGCTGCCTCCACATCATGTACTCGCCAGACTTCAGTGTTGTGATTGAAGACTGGAAGAGAGATCCATTTCTCGTCCATCCTGTGTGAGTGCATCACTCCGGGGTCACCAATTGTAGTGTAGTATATGTGGCGCAGTTAGTTAAAGTTCTCTTTCTTACGTGTCAGCTTTCTCTTTCCTTAGGGCCACATATACACATTCATAAAGGAGATCTCGCACTCAGGATGGAGGTGAGAAAGGAAACTCACAATAGCGTTTTCTTTACATATATTGTATGTTCAGTACACTAAGATGCTGGGGAGTTGCTGTGTTGTAGAGGAGCTTGTTGAGAGGAGGTCTTGTCGGTTTGAGAGCGTGGAGTAGTGGGAGGGCAGGGATTAGGATTGGAAGTACTTTTATGGCAATTTGGGGGAGAGGAGGATTGGTTTAGGATCAAGGAAAAAGAGGGAGGAAATTTGAAGGAAAGTAAGAGATTGACAGCATCCGGGCTCAACCAGATATGCTGAGGTATAATATTATATTTGAACTTACATCTTGCGTGATTAGGTACTAGCTCTCAAGCCTTTTTCATTCAGTTAAAAATATGTTTATTTTTGCAGTAGCCATTGTTCCAAGGAAGGGGTGACGACCTCTAGCCAGGTTCTTGTGGAGCTGGCTGAGCAACGTATCCTTTGTTTTAATAAGAGTGGAAGGAAGGGGCAAGAAGACAAGTGTTGGAGAGGCCAAGGATAGTGTCCTTTGGTAACTCTCATCTTTTTAATGAAATTTGTTTCTGTTTTAGAGAATTGAAGCGTTTTGTTTATAGTAGGGAAGTTTAATTTCTAAGAAGAGGTGTAGGATCCAACTTGCTACTTTTGTTCACAAGGAGGTGGTCCTAACTTTTTGGTTTAATTGAAAGATTGAAGCTTGACCTGAAGGTACAGTATTTATTGGCTTTACAGTTCCTTCACGGCGAGGCAGGTGGGTATTTATGCGATTATCCCTACTCAAGATCTCGAGTTGCGAGATGAAAGGCGCCGCTGGTTGGCTGTGGCAAGGGCGGTAGCTGGCCAGTTAACGAGCGATTCAGGGGCAGAAGCTGTGGTCTGGAATTTGCTGCGGAGAGGACGGCAGGTGGCCAATCAGCGAGCGGTTCAGGAGCGGAGGCTGTGGTATGGAACTCACTGCTGATTGGCTGAAGCGAGGACGGCGGCGGTTGTAGTGAGAGTAAACCACTACACAGTCAGTCATGCCTACTGGGACAAACTTTCACTTTCTTCATGCTATATAAAAAGGAGCATTTTCTTGTACTGGATGCCGACAGGACCGAGATCAGTGTGAAATGTGATGATTCATGTGCAATGTGGATCTGGTGGATTACAAGTTCTGCAAGGAACAAGTAACTACAAGCAGTGAGTACCATTTTAGAGATTCAACACAATTCAAGGGACTATAACTCAGTAAGGGTTGGTAAGCATGCTATATCGCGCTCAGTACCTGTGAACCTAACTTGGTATTGACTTGACTTATCCAACTTGTATTATACTTTTGTTTTTGAAAATCAATATGCACATAAATCTGCAATTGACTCATAACAAATATTATGCGATTCTTTCAATGGTTGGCATGATATTATTTCCGGAATCATAAGAACATAAGAAAATAAGGAGTCTGCAATAAGCCGGTTGGCCTATGCAGTATGCATGGCAGCTCCTGTTGAGAGTTACTACCACTCTCTATCATCCATGAATCTATCCAGCCTCCTTTTGAAACTTTCCACCGTTCCAGCACTTACTA